TTTTCTAGCCCTTGAACCTCTTCATGCCTCCGTTAACTTGTTTGTAAAATAGCAATAATTACACCTACTTCTTAGGGCTGTTGTAAGGATTAAGTAAGTTAGCATCTGAGGCTGAAGAATGTTTTTCTGTGGGAAAACCACAACCATGAGGATGGTTTCCTAGCAGCCTTCAATTTTGCTCTTTTTTTGTAAACACCTCACTTCAACTCCATCTGATTGGGCGTGTACTAGAAATTTGCCTCAGGTAATGACGTTCACTTAAAAATTCCTTTACAGCAGGGGTGCCTGGCTGGCTCAGTCCAGAGAGTTGGCGACTCTTGATCTTAGGGTCTTGAGTTCAAGCCCCACATTGGGCATGGAGCCTACTTAAAAAAAAATTTAAAAATTTCTGTATGGGGCGCCTGGGTGGCGCAGTTGGTTGGGCATCTGCCTTTGGCTCGGATCATGATCCCGGGGTCCTGGGATCGAGCCCCGTGTCGGGCTCCCTGCTCAGCGGGGAGCCTGCTTCTCCCTCTCCTCCCCACTTGTGCTCTCTCTTGCTATCTCTGTCTCTCAAATAAATAAAAATAAAGTCTTTTAAAAATTTTTCTGTATAGGGGCGCCTGGGTGGCTCAGTCATTAAGCATCTGCCTTCGGCTCAGGTCATGATCCCAGGGTCCTGGGATCAAGCCCCACGTCCAGCTCCCTGCTCAGCAGAAGCCTGCTTCTTCCTCTCCCACTCCCCCTGCTTGTGTTCCCTCTCTCTCTGTCTCTCTCTGTCAAAAAATAAATTAAAAAATCTTTAAAAAAAATTTTTCTGTATAGTTTTACCTTATAAACTTGGTTCAGCTACAAGTCTTTTTCTTTTTTTTTCAGTTGAGGTAAAATTTACATAACATAGAATTAGCTATCTTACAGTGAAAAACTTACTGGCACTTAGTACATTTGCTGTGTTGGGCAACCACCACTTGCATCTAATTCCAAGATACTGCATCACCCCAAAAGGAAACCCCATACCTATTAATCAGTCACACTTCCCACTCAAACATTAACCTGATTTCTACCTCTATGGAGTTGCCTATTCTAGACATTTCAAGTGGAATCATACAATATTTGTCCTTTTGTCTGGCCTCTTGCACTCAGCATAAAGTTTTTGAGATTCATTTATGTTGGAGCATGAGTCAGTACTTCATTCCTTTTTATGGCTGAATAATCTTTTGTTTATCCATTCATTGATCAATGGAAATTGGGTTGTTTCTACTTTTTGGCGATTATAAATACAATTGTGTACAAGTTTTTGTTTGGACACCTGTTTTCCATTCTTTGAGGCACATACCCAAGAGTGGAATTGCTGGGTCATATGGTAACTGTCTAAGTTTTTGAGGAATCGCCAAACTGTTTTCCACAGTGGCGGCACCATTTTACATTTCCACCAGCAATTTCTCCACATCCTTGCTGACCCTTGTTATTTTCCGGCTTTCAAAATCTATTTACTTACATCAGAGCTAGCCTTGGGGGTGTGGAGTTGTATCTCTCATAGTTCACACTGCTTTTTGGCTTTGCAGTGGCACACTTGGTTTTATGTTGGAATCTCCTGGGTTTTTATTTTTGGTAGCAATCCCAATGTTAGGGCTGCACCCCTGGCAGCAGGATTTAAAGCTCCTGAGGTGATTCCACTACGCGGGCAAAGTTGAGAATCACTGTGTCAAAGATTCCGGGATGCTCTCAGTTACATGGTCTTTTTACTCAGAAATTCAAATCATGTGTAACTTACTGGGCCAGGCCCACATTTATCTGAAAAATGGCAGGGGAGTGATACAGATTTCTGTCAGCCATCCCAACCCTAATAGCTAAGGCCAGTTTTTTTTTTTTTTTTTTTTTTTTTAAGAGAGGAAGTGATTTCACCACAGCTGCACACAGGGGACAGGGAGGCGGAGTGTCTCCACGGGTCCAAGTGAACTGCTGAAAACAGAAAAAACAAAACAGTAAAACAAAAGGCCACTGGCTTTGATGGCAGGTGCAGCTGCTAAGGGCTGCTGGTCCCCACCCCGCCCACCACCTCCCTTCACAAGGAAGGTTTGGAAAAGCAGCACTGTTGGTGGCCTCTGGGTTCTTACACCCTGGGGAGGTTTCCAAGTAGCACCTTGCCTCCCTGCCACCACCTTCCCCTCTCTGACAGACAGCCTTTTTCCATTTTCCACTTCCTTCTTCCCACTAGGTAGTTACTTTTGCTGAGCTGGACAGACATTGTGGCTATTCCTCTGAGTTTATAAAGATTTTATTTATCTATTTGAGAGAGAGAGGGAGAGCTAGCGGGGTGGGGGTGGGGGGGTGGGAGGGAGAGGAGAGGGATAAGCAGACTCCTAGCCGAGCGCAGAGCCCAGCATGGGGCTCAATCTCACGTCCCTGAGATCATGACCTGAGCCGAAATCGAGAGTCAGACGCTCAGCCAACTGAGCCACCCAGGTGCCCCTATTCCTCTGGATTTATAAAAACTCTGTTGCAGACGTCCAAGTTGGCCGGACTGCGAAGAAACAGGTGGGCCCATGTGAAGGTGAGTTTCCGATAAGAGTAATAGGTAACATCAGTAACATTTTGCTATAGAGGATCACCTACGGTTTTTCACTCTAAGCACTGACTTCATGTTATTGTCACTATTGTTACCACCCTCCCGCCACGGCCCCTCCCCGCCCCCAGGCCCACACGGGGCGTGGAACAGGCGGTTCTCCTCTCGTGACAGCGACGGACCCGCGGAGGACCGCGCCTGTGGCAGGGGCTTTAGGGGAGCGTTTAAGGAAGCTGGGTGTTGCTCTGGATTGGATGCTGGCCGGAAGCGACGTAATTCCATGACTGGGGGTCCTCATCAATCTTACCTAGAAGCAGGGAAGACCAGACAGAGGCTGTGATTGGTAATGAAGCCGCAGTGCCTCCTGTTAGCCGGGATGTGGGGATGTGTGGGGCCGTTTGTGATTTGGACAAGGTTCACTTGTTCTCCGTGTTCAGCCAGGATTACAGAGTGGTCTTGTTTTTGTCTTGTCCCATGCTGGCCACAGAGTGGCCTTGTCTGATGTTGGTGTCCTGGGGAATTATTTATGTTCAGTGGAAGCCTGCCCGGCCAGTTCCCAGATGGCAGGGGCTGCTTTTCTGTCTCAGGCCTCACTTTTGGCCAAGAGCAGACAAGGTCAGGATGTGAATCCATGAATATCCACATTTTCACCATTGCCAAGATTCTGTTGATTAGGAGGTTGTTTCAAGAGTGCAGGCTGTAGTTGGGTAAATTTCTCCTGCTTCTCTGTTGCAGGATACGTCGCTGAATTATCTGGTGTGACAAAAGCTGCACAGGATACACTGGTCAACTGTAACACAAGCAATTCCCACAAACAAAATGATTATTCATCCTGTAACAGGCCTTGAAGCCAGGGGCCTGGATTATAAAACCCAGACAATGAGAACACATTCCAGAATCCAAACAGGTACTCACAGCCCAGCGGGAGGTGTTTAAAGAGGCCTCAGGACCTTGGTTCCTGTCCATGACTTACCTTTAACAATTTTGCCAGGATTCCGTCCTTGGTAGGTAATGCACAATACTGCGAACACCTTTACAGTAACTCCTAAAATTACCTCAACGTGTGGGCTCCATTTCGAGGCCCATTGATCTCTGATGTTGTGCTGATGTCATGAAGCCTTTTTGTTATACTCCACTTTTGTTACTGCTATCTGATTAGCTAATGACAAAGCCTCTTAAGGAATTCCACCTCTATTTTCCACCTTGCAGAAGTAAGGGGAGGCACTTTCACAGGCCACTGCTGCCTGCACTGCAGGACACGAGCTGCTGAGCAGGACTGGCTACATAATTTTCAGGCTCAGTGCAAAATGAAAACCTGGGGTCCCTTGTTCAAAATGGTTAAGAATTTCAAGAAAGAGCCGAGAAACCAAGTTCAGGGCCATTCTGAGCCCGGGGGCCCTGTGCCATTGCGCAGGTCACATGCCCTAGAGGCCCACCCTGTGACACTTGAGACCTCTGGAGTCCTGCTGTCCATGTAGTGCAACAAGGGACAACTGTGTCCCCCTGACCGGACTCCGGAGGAGTGGCAAGAACTGGAGAATGTCCAAGGACGAGAGCAGGCACTGCAATCTAAGGTAGCTGGACCGAAGGCTGAGATAACAGAATAGCTCGTGAAATTGAGACTCTGGGATCCCGGAAGAAAGGAAAACACGCAGAGCAAGTGCTAAAAAGGAGATCCCGTTCTTAACAGGATGGCCTGTTAAAGAACACTTGTGAAGATACTGCCCAGTTCTTGTAGAATGGTGAAGGACTCAGGAAAACAGCCAGTGGGGACTGCTCTTGGGAGAGGCGAGTTTAATACGTACTTTCTTCATGCTTTTATGAGGGTACAGAAGGTCAGATTTAAACTTTGTCCGGCCATTATAGCGATTCCTGCGGAGCTTCCGGACCCTGAGAGACGCACAGAAGACTGACGGGATGATGGAAGCATTTGCCTAGTGAGACTGTCAGTGGAATAAAGGAGGGCTTTAGGGCGCACTGATGTTCTCTCCTTTGCCACATCGTGTTGAATAGCAGCCATAAGCCCAAAGTCAAAGAGAAGCCCACAGCGGAAAGGTTCACCGCCTCGAACAGGGGCATCTGTAATGGAGGAGCAACTCTGGAATCTGTAATTTCCCAAATCAACATTAACCTTACCCTCTGACTTGCTTCTCCACCATTCCCATTTTTCATGCAAACGTAGGTAACTTAAATACGCAAGAGGTTTTTATTTGGTCCCGAAATGCAAGCCGACCCTTGCTAATAATAATGGCAATAATTCTGATGGGTTTAACTGTAGCATTTGAAGAGTTAAGGAAAAGGCGGCAGTACTTTTGGACTACAGGGTGGATCCTAGCATTTGATTTTCTTGACTTAGCCAGGAAATAAGAGGGGCCCTGGCTTGGGGGATGGTCTGGGGACGTGTGGATGTGTAGGGGGTGGGCCCCCCGGAAGTCGTGCTGCGCTGTTCAAACCTAAGGTGACCTAACGGATGGCGGGAGCGCCCGCCCGATCCTCGGCGCGGGAACGGCCATTGGTGACGCACGGCGGGGAGCACGGCGCCCACGTTTCCACCATTACATTAGCGAGGCCCCACACCCTGCGCTCTAAGTTCGGGGCTGCGGGCGTCCTCGCTTCCTCCCTCCCGGAGGCGGGCCCGACCCCGCCCCCGCGCCCCGGATCGCTCCCGGCGGTCCCTCCCACCTCCTACCCTCGGCCTCCCCGGCGCGTCTCACTCCCCGCCGGCCGCAGCCCGACACGCCGTGCGGCCCCCCAGTCTCCCGCGGCCGCCTCCCCCAGGCATGGCACAGGGCCTCGCCTCACTATGGCAGCAGTACGGCACAGCACGCTCGACTTCAAGCTCGGCGCCAAAGGTGAGGGCGCGCGGCCGCCACCTGCCCGGCCGCCCGCGCCGCCCGCCGGGCTGGGGCCAGCGGGGACCGGGCGGGGCGCGCGCCGCGGGCCTAACAATGCGGACGGCCCGCGCGGCCCCGGCGTCTCTCCGGCTGCCGCGCCGAGCGCGCTGCGGGGCCGCGTGCACCGGCGGCCGGGGCGGAGGCCGCGCTCCAGTCGGTCCCCGCCGCAGCGCGGGGCCTGGAGGGGCCGCTTTCCCCCACAGCCCTCCTCCGGCGGCGCCGCCCTTCGAGGCCCGGGTCGCCCACCCGCGCCCTGTGCGGGCGTGGCCGCCCCTGCGAGGGTCCCCTTCGCGCCGCGCGGCTCGGGAGGAACACCCCCCCCACGTCCGCGGGCCCCCCCGTAGGGCGGGAGTGCAGGGGCGGGGGGCGTGCGCCGCGCGGGGCCGCCCGCGTGACCTTTTCCTGTTCTCGGAGGCGGGTAAATTCCCTCCACCCTGGGGCGGGGGCTCCCCTCGTGGGAGCCGGGGCTGGGGCAGGAGCGCGCCGCGCTTGCAGAATTCTTAGCCGACTGCGTAGGAGACGGGTCCCGCGGAAAGGGACGCGGGGCGGGAAAGGAAACGATGATTATGGAGGGGGGGGGGGGGGAGGTGAGGTCTGGGCGCGGGAACTAAAACTCCCCGAGTCTTGGAGGCTCGGAACACAGCCGGCCACAACAGAGGGCTGGAAAGTCGGAACTGTGTGCAGGAATTACGAAGGGGAAGGGTATTTTGCATGTTTTTCTTTGGGTGTTTCTAACGTGGGGGGGGGAGGGGTAGGGCTGCCAGCCTTTTTTTCTGGTGGCTTTTAAACCTTTAAGTGCTGCAGACTTGAATCTGCGCTTCCTGTACATCCCACTTGGAGCATCTCATCCATATCTTGCCTTTTCACCGTTTTCCTTGAATTGGATGGAGCAACCTTTTCTGTTCCCACTTAAAACCATGACTTTTTCACTTTCTGTTTTTCTCTTCTCCTTTCTTGAAGTTCTGAAATCTCATTTTGCATTTTTCTCCCCCAAGCTTAAAGGCTCTCCGAAGGCAAAGATTTAATTAAAAACAAAACAAAACCTTGAGGATTTGAAGCAAGACCTAGGTTTGCATCTTGTCTTTCTTGATTGGCTCTGCATGGGACTTTGGCCTTAACGTCTCAACCTTTCTGAGTATTATCCTCCCGGTGGTTAAAAAAAAAAAGGACGGTGCACACTTCATAGGGCTTAATTTTAAGGGAGTTGCCCTAAAACACCAAAAGGTTCTTAAGTAATGTCGGTGTATTCGGTGGTTGGGAAGTGACTGAGAAAATAAAGCATTTTTTAGTTCCCACATTTCTTAGTTGAGGATAGAGAGAAGGGAGATGACTGGGAGAGTCAGGAAATAAAATGGTGATTGGGGCGTGCAGCTAGTGTTGGGTGTGAGATGGCTAAGGTTTTGTTGAATAATTATCCTGCCAACTTTAGGGATTAGTGCTTAGTGAAGGTTCTTGCATACTGAATTTAGAGGTGAGGAGGATGAGGCTTGAGGAAGAACTAGTGGTTCAGGGTCACCTAGCTGCTAAGAGGTGAGTCTAGGAAGTGTCCTTGGTGGAAGCATGTGTGAACATTGACCTGTATTTATTGAACATGGGTTTTCTAGGCTCTAAGGAGGGTAGTATCAGGATGAGGCTTGGAAGATTCTGGCACTTCTCTCAGTCTGTGTTGGTGCCTGAAGCCTTAAACAGCTTTCAGGTTAATTCAGGTGTGGTATGTTGAAATGATGGCTCACAATAGGCTTCTGTGTTCTGTTGTAAAAGTGCGGGGCAACCTTCACTTTATGAAGAAAAGGAGAGAGAACTTTATTTTTTAAATTTTTAAAAAAGATTTATTAATTTGATGGGGCACCTGGGTGGCTCATGGTTGGGCGTCTGCCTTCGGCTCAGGTCATGATCTCAGGGTCCTGGGATCCTTAGTCCCACATCGGGCTCCTTGCTCAGCGAGGAGCCTGCTTCTCCCTCTGCCTGCCGCTCCCCCTGCTTATACTCTCCCTCTCTCTCTCTCTCTCTCTCTCTGGCAAATAAATAAATAAAATCTTTAAAAAAAAATCTTTATTTGAGAGAGCGCACACAAGCGCAGAGGGAGAGAAGGGGGCTCCCTGCTGAGCAAGGAGCCTGGCGCGGGGCTCTGTTCCAGAACCCCAGGATCATGATCTGAGCCGAAGGCCGACGCTTAAGCGACTGAGCGACCCAGGCGCCCCTAATTTTTTTTTTCTTTAATTAAGTAATCTCTGTGCTCAGCGCAGGGCTTGAACTCACGTCGGGGAGATCAAGAGTCACATGCTCTTCAGACTGAGCCAGCCAGGTGCCCCAAGCAAGAGAACTTTAACACTTGGGGCTGACATTGGCCAGAGAGGGAGAGAACCATAGACACACAGTTTAGAGGAGAGCAGGAGAAACTGGCAGATTCTAAGCTGGCAAGGTGTGGAAGTGGTATCTAAATAATTCAGTTGGGCAAGGAGAAAATAAAAAAACAAACATTCCCAGCCAATTATCCTTAATTCTCAGCCTGTTAATCTTTTTTTAAAACTTTTTATGATTTTATTTATTTGAGAGAGATTATGAGCAGAGAGGAGCGGTAGAGGGAGAAGCAGACTCCTTAGCTGAGTGGGGAGCCCGATGCGGGACTGGATCTCAGGACCCCGGGATCACGATCTGAGCTGAAGGCAGATGCTTCACTGACTGAGCCACCCAGGCGCCCCTTTCAGCCTGTTAACCTTAAAGATGAGAAAATTTTGATGGTGAGCTGAGGAACATTCTAGGAAGAGATAATACTAAGGAGGGGGATGTGTATATATTCATCTTTGTTAGTTCTTGAGACCCTACAAAAGTGTTTTGGGAGTAAGATTTTTTTTTTAGTATTTATTTTAGTATTTATTTTTTTAAAAAAAGATTTTATTTATTAGAGAGAGAGCAGGAGCAGGGGTAGAGGGAGAGGGAGGCTCCCCACTGAGCAGGGAACCCCAGGTGGGGCTCGATCCCAGGACCCTGGGATCACGACCTGAGCTGAAGGCAGACGCTTAAATCGACTGAGCCACCCAGGCACCCCGAGAACTCTGATTCTTACTGTGTTCCCCCATTACTTAATTTGGGGAGACATGTTATCCTTGCTGTCAGTAGGTGTCTACACTTGGAAAATAAGGGAATCTGGCTAGACTGGGATCTTTTAAGTTCTTCGAAGTTTCAGTTAGGGGCACTTGGTGAGAAATCTACCACCTGTGTGTGAGGTCTCCAAAAACATTTATTTTAATTGATAATAATGAGTCAAAAGGCATTAGTCTTGGCATGGTGAGTACTGGATGTGACTCAGGGGTGAGTCAAATGCCTGTGGAGCCTGGATTCATGTTCTTTTTCCCATTTGTCAGTAATCCTTACTAATGCTCCAGTTCCATGATGTGATTTTAATGGAATTAAACTTGAACCACTTAGTTATGTTATTATGTTGTGATTCCATATAACTTAGTTACCAGTGTAAGTGAGCTAGTACCCAGCAGCCACTGGGCCACTAAGGGCAATTATAGGTTGGGCCTGGTGGTGCCTGTTTAGTGTTGTGGCTGATGACATAACTTGGGAAATTTTAATTTTTGCTAAAAAACAAAACCTCATCTTTGGTCATTGTGCAAGTGAAGTATTGGATTCTGAGGACTCCCGAACCCAGAAAACATTTTGTGATTTCTCAGCTGAGGCTAACAAGAATAAACATGTCCCTTGTTTGTATGGTTTGAGCATCTCTGGGCTGGTGGAGGACACACGATTTGTTCCTAGTCATATACACTAGGCGGCAAGCGGGCTGGGTATCCAGAGGGGAGTGTGGTGTGGTACGCACAGCCTCTGCCTGCCCTGTTAGAGCAAACAAGCCTCTGGCTAATCAGCTCTCCAAAGCTCGAGCAGTCCTCCTCTCCCTGTCTCATTTCTTCCCCCGGACTGGGAGTATCTGCGAAGGCCGGCCTCCAGTGTCTGTATCCTGGACACAATTCTGGTACCTCATAGATGTTTGATAAGTGCTGGTTAAAATGCACCTGATTGATGTTATGGTCAAGATGGAAAACTAGCTCAAGTACCCTAGGGGGAAAATGAGACACACATTTACGGGTCCTGAGTGAGGAAACCTGCCTGATGCTCTTACGTTCGGGTTCTGGACCGCTGATCTATAGTTGATGTAGGGAAACAAAATGACTTACGTTACTCCAATTCAGAAAGTAGTTTTCTTTTTTCTTTTCTTTCTTTCTTTTTTTTTTTTTTTTTAAGATTTTTATTTATTAGCGAGACAGCCAGAGAGGGAACACAAGCAGGGGGAGCGGGAGAGGGAGAAGCAGGCTTCCCACTGAGCAGGGAGCCCGATGCGGAGCCCGGGGCTCGATGCGGGGCTCGGTCCCAGGACCCTGGGATCGTGACCTCAGCCGAAGGCAGACGCCAAACGACTGAGGCACCCCCAGAAAGTAGTTTTCTAACAAAGATCTTGTTTAATAAATTAATAGAAGGCTGCTTAGGAATTGGGCTTAACCAAAAAGGTTTAGGATAGGGGTTCTAATTTTGTGCCTTTGACCCTTATCAAGGAAGATTGTGGAGCCTCAAAGTAAGAATTTTACTTTTTTTTTTGGAGTGGAGTCGGGGAGGGGAAGAGGGGGAGAGAATTTTAAGCAGGCTTCAAGCCCAGCACGTGAGCCCGAAGCGGGCTCATCTCACAACCCTGAGGTCATGACTTGAGCCGAAATCGAGTCGGACGCTTAACCAACTGAGCCACGCAGGTGCCCCTCAGAGTAAGAATTTTATTTTTTTTATTTTTTATTTTTTATTTTTTTAAAGATTTATTTATTTATTTGAGAGAGCGAGAAAGAGAGAGAGAGAGAGAGCACATGAGAGGGGGGAGGGTCAGAGGGAGAAGCAGACCCCCCACTGAGCAGGGAGCCCGACGCGGGACTCGATCCCGGGACTCCGGGATCATGACCTGAGCTGAA